AATTGCATCTGTAATTGGAACAAACAAAACAATAAAAGAATATGTTATCATCATTAAACAGCAATTATCTTTCATTAAACTTCTCCCACATATTCAGTTAACGCATTAGTAATAGTGATTTTTAGGCGGGTCATAATGACTTATGTGCTTGCTTACTTTCCGAGAGGTTTTAACCTATTTTCGTAGTCTGTTTGGAAGCTGATTGCTTTTTGCAAGTTCTAATGTTTTATGAAAATTTTTTTTGTAAGGTATGGCTGTAGCTCGTCGTTTACAATCATTTGCCGTAAAACAAATTTTATATTGTCGTAGTAGTTCAAATGAAAATCAATCTAAAAAGTTGGATAAAGATCTAAATGAAAATTTATTTGAATTAGTTGAATTTAAACAATTATTAAATCAATCAGATTTTGTTATAATAACATGTTCATTAAATGATTATACAAGAAATTTGTTTAATTCAAATACGTTTAAACAAATGAAATATGGTGATTGTATATTAATAAATACAGCACGTGGAGGTATTGTTGATCAAAATGCATTATATGATGCATTAATTAGTGGACAAATATTAGCTGCTGGTATGTTTTTCTCTAATTTTTAAACAGTACGATGCAACTTATAAGTTATATCTTTTCCACATCATTTAGTATGGATTTGTCGCAGTTCGCCACTTCAACTTTCGCCGACGTTCGCCAATAGGCGGCGAATGTCCATAGACATGCTTCAATAGACATTCGCCATAATTCGCCATGAGACATTTGCTAATCGGTCAATCGGCGGATGTCGCGGAAACATTCGCCAATTATGGTGAATGTCTATTGGCGAAAGTTGAATTGGCAAAACGCGACTTTACCGCTGACAAAACGTTAAAATGTCACGTAGTGTGATTTATGTAGTAGAACGAAAGGAGCAAACAACGGGACAAAGCAATTGAAGTATCAAGTTGCACCTTGATTTAGTTATTGAAGAGGGAGCCTTCCCAAGTGTATCAGCGCTTTTTCCTCGAAACATACATGACTATATGTAATCGACGATGCTGATTCCGAATATGACTATTCAAAATAGCATATGGAATACAACGGAATGAAGTAGATCAAATTAAAGTATTATCAGGTGGTACCGATTGAATTTGAATGGATTTTGAGCTCAGATAGGTTTCGAGTAGCTCACATTCCAGTGATATTGAAAAGTAGTCAGTTTTTGTCTGAGTTCAATATTTTTCAAGACGTTTTAGCTGATTTTATCTCCGTTCTAAAACGTTTGATTAATTCCGAGTTTTCCATTTTGTATGTGTTACCTGACACTAGCCTCTAGTTTTCACAATGGTTCTTTTCCAGAAATCCGACCTCTGGAGGCCTAGCAGCCCAAACCAAGTGCACCACGATGCTCAGCGCCATCGATAACCTCTAGTCCGCTGGGTTTCAGGCAAAAAGCGAGTGGACAGTTGGGGTACATCCCTCGTCAGTTTTTCATAATCCAAATTTCATTTTCATCGGATTTAAGATCGATATCAGAAATCAAGTACAAAAACTGCTTCGAATGATTTACTTCTACAATCTTATCGAACATTAGTCAACTGTTTAACCTTTAGATTTGCAGAAGTCGGTTAGCCAAGCACGCTATTTAGTAAGTTTCATATTAAGATTTCGTGTTTTCAATTTTCTAAGATATTTCTGAGCATTTCTCCCATTTAAAATCATCCATCGACGTTAGTGCTCACCGTTTCCCCCGATAGATATTTCCTGCAACTTTTTGAGGTGCGGGAAAGGCGAAAATAATTTTATGTGCTGTACAATTCAATGCAAAAAGTTTTTCTGAGTATTATTTAAGAATTTTTCGTTTTGCTTATTCAAATCTGCGTAAATTAAACCACTGCCTAACGCCCTCGTATTTTGAATTAGTTCGACACACTTAACCCGTGCTAGAGACCTTTTGTTTAGAGCGGTATAGACCTGTCTGCAATAACACTCGGTAAACAGGAAGGTAGCTTTACCAAAGTAAGATGCAACATTGAACAGAAGTAGTACACTTCAAAAGCTTTCTAAACATAAACTACACTGACATACTTTGAACTGTTCATTGTTGTTGCCGAATTTTTTTTTGGCATATCATTATCATCTTTTCTTGAAATTAATGTCATACTATCATCATAAAAATCTTCATCATTACCACCACTGCAATTTTTCAACCACAGACAAAGACCATTTGTAACGACTAAATGGAGACGGTGTGCCATGCACCAAATTGTTTTTGTATCTGTGTTCAGTACATCTAATGCCAATCTCATATTGGCAGCACCATCTGCCGTAACCATCTTAACTTTATTTTCAATGTGTAAATTTTGTAATTCATGTTTAATAGCCTCATTAATATTAACGGCCGTATGTTGCTGACTGAATGATGTTACTGTTGAATTGAATTTATAGTCATTTGTAACGAAATGTCCCGTTAACACTAGATGAATAAATTACAAAACAAACCACAATTATACAAAAGTTGTGCTGCCAGTAACGAACCATAAACGAAGTTTT